TCAATCAATTCCAATGACAATACTTGCTACTTTGCGGAAGGAAAATCCAGATAGAAACATTTGGTTACTATGGTTCCCTGAAGAGTCCTCGCCCTCAGAACTAGCGCTCAAGAAATCGATGGAAGAGGACCATAAGATACAATTTCAAATGTATGACGCAAGCGTGCATGATAATCTGCCTTTACGGATGAAATTTTTGTACCCAGTTTGCCTGCACTGCGGGCTTCAAGATCGTTCACAACTTGCAACGTGTACCGGCTGCTATCTTGCGAATTACTGCAAAGCCCCCCAAACTTGTCGGAAAGCTGATTACGCACGGCATAAGTTTTTCTGTCGTTTTGCAAGGGGTCATATATTAGGACAGCCATATGCAAGATGCCGACCTTTGTTTAAGTACCCGGGGGATACGCGGCATCCAGCAGAACGGAATTCCATGAGTGTTTGGTCCTATGGGGACTACCTGCAGTTTCTAGCCTTTTGGGAAATCCAATGCGTCGCATGTTTTGCAGGTCGGCCAAAGGGTCGCCCCGTCGTGAGACAGCAGATATCTGGCGGACAAATCGTTACCTCGGTGCGCATTGAAATGCGGGACGCCACAATTTTCAAAACCCCTCACTTTCAGAAGTATACAGCAAGAATGGGGTTTGTATACTCCAACTTACACGCTCCAGATTTTGTATATTCTTATCCATTTTACCGTGTCACTCCGTTTGGTCGGTTGATGATGTGCATCTGCAAGTTAAGGTGCCCGAAAATCATACTTCAGAGGTTGCTTTCATAGAATGATTGGCAATGCAGACAGGATAATCATGGACTTCGCAGACACGCCTTCGTCGCAAAATAATAGTAGATATGTACTTGTAGGTCCTTCGATCCGAGCGGACTAGTACCGGGTATCTGATAGGCTAATAATTCGGCAGGTCCAAGACTTTCCAAGATCATAAGCTCTATTTCTTGCCTAAACTACTCATTTGCCCCCTTTTCCCGTCAGCGACGCACCTGCTTCTACTTCTACCATAGTCATGCCATCCAAGCGGCAGTCTGTTTTCACATACATCGACCAGTTTGCCAAAAATCACGGGGAGTCTTACCCATGCAGCAGTACAATTCTTCTTCCGCCGGGTATGACTATCCAAAAGTTGTGGCAGAACTACAATACACAATGCGTCGACGGCGAAGGCATGGAATGCTCACTCAGCCTTTTTCGTCGTGTGTTCAGAGAGGAGCTTAGCTCTTGGGTCAAGTTCCGTCGGATGAATTGATGCTATATAGCGACAGCATATAGCTTTGTCATTGAGCAAATTGACTTATCGTTGGAACACCGTTAAATATGATTGTATTCGAACATATTTTGAATGAAATTGTTATCGACGTTTCACATTTCCAATGTTGTGACATGCTATGTTTGTGACATGCGGGCCTTCGATCCGACCCACCTGAAAGAGGTCATTTGATTGGCCAACTGAAATCACGACGGCCACACTACTGAGATATTTAAGCACCTACCTTGTCCTCACAACTCACTTTTCAGCTTGACACTTTTCTTTCTTCACCTGCCACCTCATCCAACCATGCCATCCAAGCGAGAATGTATTGTTGCCTATGTTCTTGGCATGTACGCAACATGCCCTACTGCCCCCAGAATGAGAATGAGGAATTTTGACTATCTTCCTCATAGTATGACTGTTCGAATGTTGTGGAGGAACTACAATGAATGTTATATGTGCAGGAATGCAGAAGGCAACAAATGCACGTTGGGGTATTTTCGATGTGTGTTTCGAAACGACCTTGCCTTTCGGTTCAAGTTCCGGGCCGAAAGCGGGCCGGGATTGGATCCGGCTGCGGGCCGTAGACGAACAGTGAAAATCTCAAAAATTTACGTGAAATTTTTGATTTTCATGATATTCCCATACTTAAAATTGGAAAAATTCGCCTGCGGCGGGCAATTTTCGAGACGGGCCGGGCTGGCCGAAACCGGGCCTGAAAGATTTGCAACTGCGGCCCGCAAAATCTTTTGGAAGATATATGCTCTGTGCTTGACACGGCCACGACCACCGCCCGCGCCTGGTGTCGTGTGGTGTTCATAACGTCAGGTTGTCCGAGCCCCCACAGGCGGTCCGAGCCCCCCCGCTTGACGACCCGAAAAATATGTCTAATAAAGGGGCGGGGGGTCCCGACTCCCCCTTGACCCGAAAATATGTCGGTGGGGGAGGGGGATTGGGGGTCCGATCCTCCCTTGACCCGAAAAGTATGTCTAATAAGGAGCGAGGAGGTGTGCTAGTATGGGTGCATTGGCGCACCTGTACTGAAATCAGGTCTAGAATCGGCGCTTATATTGATAGGCGTGATTTCCACCTCCGAATGGGGCGGGGTCAGTACAAGTGCGCATGGCGCACCTGTACTGAAATCGGCGCACATTACGGCGCCGTGCACGTACACTGTAACACACACATTTATATATATATATATCGGTGTGTGTGTATATATATATATATATCGGTGTGTGTGTGTGTGTGTATATATATATATATATGTTGTGTGTATCATGTGCGCGCTCGGTGAACACACACACACACACAGCCGGCTATGCTCAGCGCAGGAAAAAGATGTGCACATCGCAAACTTAGAACAAAAAAATAAAAGAAAATGAAAAAACTATGCCCTTTGGGCGTATGAGTATATCAATTTTCCCGGCCCTACTCTGGGCCGGGTCGCAAACTTGGAAGGAATATGTTAGTGGCTACACAGTCAAGGTGCGCTTCATCATAATTTTCAGATCGGCGCACTACCATGTTACCATACTGCCATCAGTTGTACTACAGTAATCACTCACCGTTAAGAAAACTCGACGTTAAGGAAACAGCCAGCGTTTTTTCAAACTCCGTCATATCTAATACATCGCCCCCATATTTAATAACTCTATGTAAAAATATGCTGGCCGACGATTTCCTGTTTTCTTAAAGGTGGCGAGTGATTACTATATGTGCCTCCATCCAAGTGCACCTTGTAATGTGGTATGTAATGTAGCAAACCCTATGCATAATTGTGGACACACAGTGTTGTGTATGCCCAAATGTAATAAACAATACACATTGTTATAATTAATCTGCTTCCACATTTACATCGTTGTGCGATTATATGTCTGATCAATTAAAGAGCAACAGATATAATGCAAGAACCAATTTCAGTTTATGTTGGGGATGAGAAGCTAATTGTATTCTGCTGCAGCGTGCCGCTATTGTAATGAAGCATGATTTGGAACCTCGTCAGACCTTAATTCCGGTGACGGATGCACAATGTTCTGCGAGCTATCAGATATACAATTCAATTCTAGTAGACGACTGAGGCATTTATCACCATACTTGCATAGCATGCTCAAACATAAAACTACTAACAATAAAATCAAACCCAATACAACAAAGGCAAGCAACGCCGATAGTCCCGATCCATCTTGTCCCATGACCAAGCAGATGCCGAATATATACGTGCTTGAGTGCACGTTCCGTAAAGCTCAAGTTGAGAAAGATCATCTCAATAATCATACCACACGTCTCTGCAGTCGTCAACACACATCATTAGTCCGTGAACAATATTATCTCGTTGTGCGCATATTGTGAGAAAAGTTTAGTTTAAATTTTTTGATGGGAAGATAGTTGCGTATGCAATAAATACCGACTCTCTATCTCTGTGCATGTGGCGTGAATGGTGCGGGAGAAATCGATGTGTGCAATCAAATGTTTGTACAACGCTTGATGGCATGATCAAGTGCTCAGTCGGTATGGTGTGTGATGTATTGGGACGCACACACACGTGTGTATGTGTGGGTGGATGTGTGATCGCACGCGATTGCATTCAATGTGTGTCGGATGCGGACGTACATAACAATGCATTATTCTGACATCAATCAAATCACTCAAATCATCATATTCATCAGACGAGACACAGCATCATCACGATCATCGTCGCCACATCACGTGATCATCTTCTGTCATCCGGTTGGTATGTATATACACCTATCAAACTCCACTTGTATGTATGTGTGTGACCTGTGTGTGTGTGTATTTCAACACAGCATACGATATTGCCTTGAACAGCTTCCCTCACTATATCATTATTATTGCTCCAAGTATTCCTACCAGATCTGCGTACACGCATATGCACATATCGCGGATGTCCCGGTGAATCATCGATGGCGTGAGTACTTTATATAAATAACCATTCCTTCATTGTTGTAACACTTGATACTTCTATACAACCTCCCGGCATGTCAAATAGTCGCCCGTTGTATATATTTACATATACCGTACACTTCACAGACAATCGTATCGCTTGCAATAGAAAAGTTGAGATAAGTAACGTTATAAGAGGTATTATTGTGACTTACACACACAGTTGCTAGAGCATACGTCTCACCGGGCAGATACGATAACGAACGTAGAGAGAGTCTTCGTTGGCCTAGCTTATCAGTGGCATACAATACCATCAAACGAAGTTACATACCGTAACATGTGATGACCCACACACACACACACACATATTTAAGTCGGGAATAGTATGATGATTATACGAGATGTAAGAATACCTCACATACACAAATTGTATGTAAACATGCTTCGTACACACGAGATGATCCGAATCCCCTTCACGCAGGATGCATGCGTCCCGATGTTTTCCGGGGCCCGCTGTATATTGGATGCACCATGTTATATTTAAAATGCTCAGGAGATATCCTTGGCTCCGGCGCATGGTTGATTATCATTATTTTACATATTTATATTCGCCCTGTAGCGCCGCGCACGTGAACACAACGCGCAAAACAGAGACACCTACTAAGTAGGCCCTGACAAACTTCAGGACGGTATCGGCCACTGCGGGGGGAATCAATTCATATCACAAACTCAGCATATATGATGAGACAGTGGTCCGAACATCAACAGTTCCACAAAAGTAACCAATGGGAATATCTCGAAGAGCCTTGAATTTATTTTACGCTTACACAGTCCCCCGTATGGGGCTCGAACCCATGACCTCCGGCTCATAAGACCAGCGCTCTAACCGACTGAGCTAATGGGGGGTGTGTGTGTGTAATTTGGATGCAGACATCGATATACAAACAATTATATTTGTCTGCATCCAATCTACCTGCCATTGCCTTCAATGGATTCACCGGGCATCTGATCATTTATCCGATCTTATCCCCACATTCGCTCAGCGCTGTTTGCGCAATCGCCGGCGATCGCAATCGACCAGTGGGACGATGGTTTTTAGTTTATGTGTTTGTAGTATGATGCATTATACGCATGGCAAGGATGCCTCACATACACAAACTGTATGTACACATGCTTCGTACGCACGAGATGACCCGAATCCTCTTCGTTCACGCAGGATGTATGCGTCCCAATGTTTTCCGGGGCCCGCTGTATAGTGGGTGCATCATGTTATATTAAAAATGCTCAGGACATATCCTTGGCTCCGGCGCATGGTTGATTATCATTTGATGTGTTGGTATAGTACTTGTATCAGGCGGAATGTATGGAGTATGCGGCTGCGGAAATGCTCATTTCCGGAAACCCAGCAGGCTGCGCGCGCAGTAATTGCAAAATTATTTTGAGTATGTCATCACTCCAATCCTCGGTAGGCGACTGTTTGAATCAAGCGGCATAGACGATATCGATTGTCAATACGTTAGCTATGCCAAACCGGGGCAAGGGAACGTGGGCACGCTGACCTCGCGGACGTGTCGCTGATCTTCGACTTCATGACTTTACAACTTCAGTGTGCCCTATTTTCTGAGTTTTGCCAATCTACAAATTGTGACTTCCCTCTACGCTATTCAAAATTTGAAACACTAAAACGAGCCGCGTGATTCTTGCCATACCTGTCGGGGGTCTGTTCGGCTGCTATCCGCATTCCTCCATGATTATGTGTGGTATCTACATGGATATTCCGAACGCAGGAGCAAACGGATGCCCGTAAGTCTGGTGGACACGATATGCTATAAAAACGAATGTTACTTACGCAAGCACACGGAATATTGCGGTATGACTCTGTAAATTATACACGCGTTCGCACGACTTCTAATAGTGTTCTAATGGTGATTTTATTGGCAATGCGCGAATACGCAAACGAAGGTAGCATTGTTGCAATGCGTCAATATGATTGTGTGGATGTATGCATGTACGACTGAACTATAATGCACACGCCGCCAAAATTGATTTATATCTTCCCCGGCGGATGGTCGATTTGGTGGTTGACGAATTAGATTCAGGCCATATCCTTGGCCCCGGCGCATGGTAGATTATCCATTACTAGGCGGATCCGATCTAAAAAAGAGATCTCCACTAGGCCATCTGACCGTAGGATCATGTGCGCGAGAGTGCTTCGCTTTTTGCGTCCCAACATGCCATGCGATGACGCGTGGGTAGCGTCGCGGTAAATGTACACGACTGCAGTGACACTGTCATCGTTAGCGTCTGGCGATCGTGAGATCGGAAGTTCGTCTGTGTCGCCCGATGGGATTCGCGCTTTGCTGCTGATTAAGTAAGGTAAGGTAAGGTACTAGGCGCTGTCGATCACAAATATGCGATCTCCACTAGGCGTCGATCTTTTTGGACAGCACCATTAATTACCATGCGATGTTAACATGGATATCGCCATTACATCATATGACCGCAGGATCATGTGCGCGACAGTGCTTTGCTTTTTGCTTCCCAGCATGCCATGCCATAACGCGTGGGCGGCGTCGTGGTACATACACGCGACTGTTGTGGCACCGTCATCGTTGGCGTCTGGCGATCGTGAGATGGAAAATTCGACTGCGTCGCCCGTTGGGATTCGAGCTTTGCTGTTGCTGCTGATTGACTAAGTAAGTAAGTAAGGTAATTTACTTGATGCCAAGACGATAAAGGTCAGAGGTAGGCTAGGCCCGGTCGATCTCACAGTTGAGATCTCCACTAGGCCATCCGAATATTCAATCGGTTCAATATATTGTTCATTAGTTATTGGTTGGGCGGTTGTTATGCACGGCGGTATGATTTGCAATGTGAGACATTATATGTGTTATATGGTTAGATATGATATTAATATTATGTCGACGGCGTACATGTAGTATACGCTAGTTACAAATAGAGGATGGCGGAGCAAGGTTTGGATGTCCAATATGATTACCAAGGCGACATAGCTAGTTACTATAATGATACGTTACTTTCTAGTGCAAACTTTTCCCTAGCGCTCGCGTGTTGGTTGCGCTTGGTGGCGGTGTATGGATGATGATATATCCATTTCGTTCAGGTATTCATTAGTTATCAGTTGGGCGGTTGTTGTGTATGTACGGCGATATGATTTGGGATGTGAGATATTAAATGTGTTATATAGCTAGATATGATATATGGTGGCGGCGTACATGTAATGTAAGCTAGTTGCAAATATTGAATGGCGGAGCAAAGTTTGGCTATCCAATATGATTATCAGGGACACAAATAGTTACTATGATTACTTATTTTCTAGTACGAACGTTTTCTTAGCTTTCGCACGTTGCTTACGCTTGGCAATTGTAGTGTAGATACACGTGTAGTCGAATAAGCAAACACTCTGCATACATATCTTACATACTATTTAGCATTTGCACATGCATGACATCGAAAACAATCTGTTGAATGTGCAGAATGTAAATGCTCACGCACCGATCAATACATCAACATCGCGGCGCGCTGCGCGCGATTAGCGCTAACTGCATAATCAATACTAAGATTGCCTAATTGATGAGACATGTCTGCAACAAATCGTGAAGAATATATGGAGCGTTATACATGTTGATGTGGATAATGTTGATGTCAACAACCTCTTGGAGTGTTAGCTGAAGTCTGAGCAAGCAATATATGACCCTCGTAGCAGAGTTACTTTTCTGCTACACATGTATGGCGATGTCCGTCAGCTTGTGGCAATTGCTTAGGTGGGGGCGAACATCATGTGAAAAATAATGGAGGCTCACTATACATGAGTTGGTGGTGCACATGCCCATTTTGCATACATGTGATACACATGCTCACTCTCTTTCACACACACACACACACACAATCATGGCTGAATGCTTTGATCCCCGGTGTGGGTACATAGTGCAATTGATCTTCTGCGGCTACGGTGTGCCAAAGGAGTCGGTCCAAGGAAAAGCCACACTCATGCACGCGCATAATTACATACTTGCACACGCATCCAAACACAACTCATACACACACACACACACACACGCACACTCGCGACTGCAAGCGCACGCGCACACACACATTCTTGCCACTTTAACAATCGATATGCATGTTGCATGTAGCATGCACACGTTGCCCGCTGACAAAAGCAGACCCACCATCAATCCAGTGGATGTGAGAAACATGCTTGTGGGAATAGATCAGGGCATGACTATATACCGCACCCACACATCCTAGCCAAAAAAGAAAGTGTGCAGCCACGTTGGAAGCTCAGCCAGTGTTACACTGCAAGTATATTATGAAAATATCACACGTTGGTGCTCGAGCGCACACCGTGAAATTCGAGAGGGAAATCGGCTGCATTGAAGTCCCCATATATATATATATATATACAACGTTGTATATATATATATGTATATATACGTCTAGCTTTGATTGGCATGCGCATTAGCTCGTTCACTTTATTATGTGTGTGTATGTGTGTGTCGCGCGCGCGTGCGTGTGTGCTTAGTGCGTGTGCGTGTGTGCATCAACGGGCGTATGCACTCACAACGCACTCGCTGATATTCATCAATAATTTTGAGCACAAGCCGAGACAGTGACTAAGGTGGTGCTTGAGGCGAGCACTGCATAATCTGATGTCCATTGATACCCCTTGCACATGCATAGAATTATTGTGCCCATCTTGAGCTGGCATTTGTGTTTTAGGACGAATAGCAAAGGGGGGCACTTTGTAGCACTGTGGCAGTTGGCATTTAGCACGCATGGCATACTACTATGATCATCATATTAGTACTTTAAATTTTGACAATGTGAAAATCGCATTATGACTGCATGCTGCACAAACTGTGCGCAAATAGGCTGATGCGTATATCGAATGCAATCTTTAACAATTACCCTTGCGAATCAAAAATATCATATTATGCCGAGACGCAAATGATTGGCTGTGTATGCGGATTATTATATGATTGTGCATGCGTAATTGTGTATCCAGCCGGAAAACGTGCGAATAAAGCAATATTTACTGATGCAGGACGCCGGGGATCGAACCCAGACCAAGAGCTTGTGCGAGTCTCGTGGACATCGTCCTCCTTCATCATCCGATCAACGTGCATGTGCAAGGCGTGATATATATGATGCTCTCCGTGGTGTGTAACTTAGTGCTTAGTGCTGAGTATGTGATGTGTGTGTGTGTGTGCTCGTGTGTGAGAGAGAAGCAAGAGCTACTTTGCTTCCATGATTTGGCACATATATTGATGTGCCCGTAGTGCATTCTTGTGTGAATGGTGGGTGTTGATAATGCATGCGTGTGAATATCCAACATGTAACCATCGGAATGATACATGACTGCGGCTACATGCATATACTACTTGCTCGTTATAATAATTCATCATTCGACTGAGTGACATTTGCAATTCCCACTCGCGGCTGGCGCGAGCCTATGCATGGTTGGCTGCCTTCACGTGTGGCGATATTAATGGGCAAGCGCTTCTTATATCATATATACATAAAAGTGCATTTCACCGCCATGAACGTGCATCAAACCTCGCGCTACCTCGATCGGTCGCAGCATTGTAAATCGAAGCACGAATGACGTCTCATCGACCTCCGCCATCATGACCCTGTGCCAAACACACACACACACACCTTTCTATAGGACAAATATGATCATTCGTTCAATAATGCAAAACGTACGTTTAAAGTACTTTCTAAAACGCATATGCTGCGTTAACAGCTAACATGCTCCAACACGCGATGCGAAGCATCCCAAAATATTCATGTTCAGAAAACAAAAATCTAGCAAACCATTCTGCCATTTGCACACATATATAAGAACGAACCTCAATAAATATACAGACCCCAGCCTGTAAGT